GCTGCTGCTGCTGCTGCTGCTGCTGCTGCTGCTGCTACTGCTGCTGCTGCTGCTGCAGTGGCAGTGGGCACAGCAGCAACCACCGGTTCAGCGGTGCTGCACTAATTGTAGCGAATATGTGAGCTTAATGTAAGAAAAAGTGTAAAAGTTGTTATTTATTATATTATTTAATTATTTATTGAGGAGGATCGCGCTGCTGCTTCTTGGTAGCGGCGCTCACTGCTGCAGCTGGCTGCTTGCTGCTGGTGAGGTGCTAGAGGAAAGCGAGTGTTTCAGGGCATCGTATAAGAGAAAGCAGAGAGAAAAAAGGGAAATATATAAATATTTATGTTTTTAAATAAATATAATTTGTTTATAAAGAAAAAGAATGGCAACGATCCACCAGAAGCTGCAGCTACACGCATGCAGGAGCGACAAGGAGCAGCAAAGCTAGGGGAGGCAGCGTGGGGGTACTATGTTGGTTGCTGCAGGGGCTCAGCATATAGGGTTTCGTTGCTGCTTGGTGGTGCTTTATTATGAATTTGAAAATAAGAAGAAGTTTTTGTTTGTTCTTCTGCTGTAGTTGTGTTTATTCTGTTTATTTTGGTTGCTGTGCTGGGGTTGTTGGTGGCGGCTGCTGCTGCAGCGGTGCTCTGCTGGTGCTTGGCGCCACCCTTCCTCTCTTTCTTTTGCGTATTTGTTTAAACTTCAAGAGTAATTGGGGCTTTTTTATTTATTTTTTCTGCTCCCCGTCATTCTGCTGCTGCGCCGCTGCACCCCCGCCCTCTCTCTCTCACCCCTGGCAACCTGCGCTCAAGGATGGAGCGTTCACGCGGGGTTCTTTTTCTCTTTCTTTTTCTTGTTTTTATATTTGCATCAATTAGTAGTATTCATGTGGTTTACTCTGCTGCTGCAGAGCTAGCAGAGGCTGGCTCGGTTATGGTGGGAGAGCAGCAAGAGGAGCTGGAAGCAGCAGGTGCAGCAGCAGCAGCAGCAGGATCGGAGCAGCAGCAGCAGCTTGACGACAACGGCTCTGAGGACGGTGACACGGGAGCAGCAGCAGATGCAGAAGGAGAAGGAGAAGCAAATGATGATGATTTTGTAAATGAGGATTCAAGTCTACGCAAAGAGGAGGACAGACCAAGAACAACGAAGCGTCTATACACCACAAAAAAGAGTATGCGTCCAGGTGCTGCTGGCGGCAATCAACTTGCAAAAGGAAAATTTGCTTCTGTTGCTGCTCTGCTGCTGCTCGTCAGCCTCTTTATAGGTCTCCGCAGCAAGCTGGGACAGGCAGAGGATGAGGAGGAGGAGGAGGAGGTTGAGGAGGAGGTAAAGTCGCAACGCCAGAAGGCCGGCACAGAGCAGCAGACAGCAGCAACTCAGGATCAGTAAACTCCCCGTGCCCTCACCTGCTGCTGCTGCTGCTGCTGCTGCTGCTGCTGCTGCTGCAACGGAAGCAGAAGCAGAAGCAGCGGTGGCCGGCTGCTCTCTCGTCGCGCCAGGGACTGCAGCAGCCATGCAGAGGAAACGCAGTGCGCACCGACCAACGGCGGCAGCAGCAGAAGCAGCAGCAGCAGTAGTAGTAGTAGTAATAGCAGCAGTTGTTGCTGCTGCTGCAGCAGCAGCAGCAGCTCTCCTACCTCACGTCCTCATGCTGCCAGAGGCGCCCCTTACGCTCTCAGTGATGCCCAGGGGAGACCAGGGCACTGCTGCAACACCCGGCAGCAGCAGCAGCAGCAGCAGCTGCAGCAGCAGCAGCAGCAACAGCAGCAGCAGCAGCAGCAGCAATGGCAGCAGCAGCGGGAGGCCGGCGGAGGTCTGGTGCGGGCGAAGCTGAGCGCGATAGGGCATAGAAACGCATGCATGCATGNCGGCGGAGGTCTGGTGCGGGCGAAGCTGAGCGCGATAGGGCATAGAAACGCATGCATGCATGCATGCATGCATGCATGCATGCATGCATGCATGCATGCATGCAGAGGTGCATGCATGTAAGAACATGCGGGCTTGAGAAGAAGCGACGGAGGCCTGAAGGTCTGATGGTTTGGCGGCATTGATGAATACCCCCCGTGAGATGTGCAGTGTATGGGTTATAGGGTCTGCAGCAGCAGCTGCTGCCGCTCCGCTGCTCCTCCAACTGCATGCATGCACCAGCAGCAGCGGCTGTGGG